AGACTCAGTGGCAGTGAGTTTGGTTTTGGTTTGGTATTGCATTGGGCAAATCTGCTGCAAAAGACCAGCTTCAAGTGTTAAAAAAGCAAAGATGTCACCTTGAGGACTAAGGTGTGCCTGACCCAAGTCAAGGTATTTTCAATTGCCTCATAGGCATGTGAATGCTGGCCAATAAAGAATAAGGAAGCCCAAAGAAGACAGATGCATTTGAATTGTGGTGTTGGTAAAGAACATTGAATATCCCACCGACTTCCAGAAGAATGAACAAATCTGTTTTGGAAGATGTATAGCCAGAATACTCCTTGGAAGTGAGGATGGGAAGACTTCACCTCATGTCCTTTGGGCATGTTTTCAGAAGGGACCAGTCCCTGGAGAGGGACATCATGCATGATAAAGTAGAGGGTCAGTGAAAAAGAGGAAGGCTCTCCAGGAGATGGGCTGTCACAGTGGCTGCAACAATGGGCTCAAACATAGTAAGGACTGTAAGGATCTCACAGGACCAGGCAGTGTTTTGTTCTGCTGAACACAGGGCAGCTACGTACAACAAGTTCTCTGGGATAGTCAAGTCCTTCTTGAGTTCCCCTAAAACAAGGTCATTTCTCATAGTGAGGATTCAAGATAAATTTGTTCTATACAGGAACAGGAGTTAAAAGCAGAGGCAGCTCCAGACTAGTTCCAGGTCTCTTCTTAAGCAATTTTATAATTATTTGCTAACCTTGACAAAGGCATTTTTTGATAGTCAGGTTTTTAGTTTCCTGTCTTTATTCCTTTCCCTTACTTCTTCTTCTTTTTTTCTTTTTTAACAATTATATTATTTATTAATAGATTTTAGTTTCATTATAGATTTGCTCTCAATTCTTACTCCTAGCCTGCGACCACTGTGCTCCATGCTTCCTTATGAAATGTTCCCAGACATGGAGGGAAGAAATAAAAGCATGTGTCTCTAACAGTGGCATTTCTGCTATTTTAGAAACACCATATAAGGGTAGCTTATTTTAATTCTGTGATATACAGTTGTAATTCCCTTTCCAGAACATCATTGCAGAAACTTTTACTGCTCTCTGGTTCAAACTACCTGAAATCTGGGTCTTTGTTGCTTTTACAATAATTACAACTTCATATGTAGACAGAAACCCAAGGACCTATGCCCACTTTTCTGGGTCACTCTGGTATTACAGACTTTTCACATCTAACCTTAGTTTTGCCAAAGAACTTTCTTGAGTGACACAAAGCTGAATTGATTGGCCCTTTCCAAAGAATATTCCTTTCATCCTTTTTGCTTGTCTCCTCTGATGGGAGTTCCTTTTGTTACTTTCAAAGTCTGCAAGACTGGCACATATCTTTTGCCCTGCAGCATTTTTTAAAGTCCCATATTAGCTACAACACTGTGGAGCAGCTTCATTACTATCCAAGGAAGTTCTGCAGGTGAAGGCTCAAGCTGGTGTGTCTTGCAGAGACGCAGAGACCCCGGTGCGGGCTTTTCTCATGTCTCTGCTGGCTCTGTCATTCATTATTTGTGCATCCACTTGCCACTTCCCACTTAGGAAGAACCTCCTCAGGTCCAGTTCTCTCTGTGCACAGCCTGCTTGTTCCAACAGAACGTAAGTCACTTCCAGCAGAAAGGATGTCTCGATCTTGGTTGCCAATTTGACAGAGTTTACAATTTCCAGAACATATTCTTGCTGTCTATCTTCAGCATTTGAAAAGGCAATGTGATATTTAAGTCCAAAGAGCTTTTCTTCTTGCTTTCAACTAAGGGGCTTCAATTTCTTTGTAACATGGAACCTTGGGTCTTGAAGCAAATCTAAATTTTTAGATAGGACTTTTAAGCTGGCCTGTTTCGTATGGCTCTCATACTCACTTTTACCTTTAATGTTAACATCTGCAAAGTGCTTTGAGATATTTTCCGGACGGATGCAATATGTATCATTTGATTGATTGTTTGATCAATGAGTGGCCCTTCCCAATGCTATTCAAAGTACTTACCTAAGCACTATAAAGCACCTCATGTTCTGTATCCAAAATCTTAATTACGTAAGAAATCCTACCAAACTTGAGAAATAAAGATTTGAGACCACTTTTAAGGAAATAGGAACTTTTTCTTTACTGTTAGCATTGCAAACATAATGACATATATGCACGCTTTATATGATATAAATACTTACACACTAATTATTAAAAAGAGATCATTTTAAGAAAATCAAGAGAATTAACCAACTTTTCTTTGCAACAACTTGGCAACAATATACTATTTAAATTTAAGTTCCTATGAATGATCAAGGTTGCATGGTAAAAATGTTACACTGCTAACACTTAATTGTCCAGGGTAATGAAGGAGAATTACAGCACAGAAAATTGAAAACAGCAGAAAATTCAAAATGCTTTCAAATTTGATTTTATATGAAACGAATCTAAATGTGAGGGGTATTTTACTAATTACAACTTTTTATGTTATAACTCAAAATATCCTTCTCTGCCTGAGTGATGAGAAAGAGGCAAAGGAAGGAAGAAGACATTCATATTAAAATTTGCTGTGTCATTTGAAAACAAGGCAAACCTCACACAAACAGGGAGTTGACTGCATTTGTATTCTTTTTTTTTTTTT